AGCTAATGGCTTTTTCTTGGTAAATGAAAGGCTGTCCGAAATTTTTTCGATTTTATCCATACACTAATCTTTGGAAATACCACACTTTAAGAGGGGATCGAGATTTCAGATGGGGAGGCTTACCAACAAGAGTAATTCCGGGGACAGGACTTCCTCTACTTTCCTCTTGGTATCAAACAATGTAACTTAGTTGAACTTATTCTACGAGCTGGAACCAGCTCACTTCTTAAATGAAATTAATTTATTTGGTCTTCGTTAGATTATTAATATCTGAGAATCGTATCTCCACGAGTTCCTTTTGGGCCAATTGGTAAACAGTGATAATTTTTGGTTTTTTTTTTTTGTTTTGTTTTCCTCTCAGCCTTCTCTATAGAAGTAGGTAATGGGCTCTTCCGTTTCCTTTTTTTGTCTTTTTTTTTTTTGTGAATAAGTCGGAATATCTTGGTCGCACCGTCTATTAAAGGTCTAATTGAGAGTTTCGGATCCAATCTCTCACCACCCCTGCCTCTTTAGAGAATTCTAAACTCTGTTTCGATGTTGTTTTCTGTAAAGTTTAGGCTGGATGCGATCTACAGTATAGAACTAACGGGTGCATTAAGAAGGTCGCGCCTCAGCTTGTTTTGCGACACTGTGAATATTGGAGCAGCTATGAAGCACAGAACAGTCACAACATTTGAGTAATGATTTTGGGTTAGGGTTAAGGTTCCTGCAAATGTGGGTTTTGCTACTTTCTCACTTTTACAATCTACCCAGGGACGAAGCCACTTAAGCTATCGTTATTGAATTTTACCATCAGTTTTGTGAGAAGTTGTTGAGAAACAAACGGACAGTTTGTCGCTCCGTATTTTTAACCGCCCAGCAATGTATTACCGTGGCATATTTCGTGCGTTCTCTCTTCCAAGTCTTTTTTTTTAATCCCACGTCGGAGATGGAGATGACACTAGTTTCTCGATTCTTGATGCGTGTGCGCGAGTTATGAGCCGGGAGGATGACCACGCATTTTCCTTCAGTCAGCCAGCTGCCGGTTTAAAATAAGTTTTTTTGCGGGATCTAATTCGAGGGGTTTTTTCAAAGCTATTAATCTTCAGCATTTAGACAAAAAGGAAAGGTGGCCTAGTGCTTTAAAATATTCACACTACAACGTCCAGTTATATTTTCAAAGATGCAAGTTGCTGTGCAAAAAAACCCCAAAAAATAATTCTGAAGTCTGCGAAACAAATGTATCACGTTGCAACATCGTGTGAAAATTACCCTAAGAAAGGAGGAAAGCATTAAACGTTTTACGAGGTGGCCAGAAAAAGTAACCGTGTAAATCTATCGACTTTATAAATCTTTGACATACATTTCATAGAATTTTACATACCTCTGACTAAGAGCTGCAATGTATAGGGATTTTTTCCGCAGCCGCTCACCCCGACACAGGTGTAAAAGCCAGAGTCCTCTTTCTTCGCCCGTTTTATCTTTAGGTATCTGTAGGGTTTTAACCTCATACGTTGATGAACTGATGGAGTAAGCGTCTGATTGTCTTTGAGCCAGTAATACCCTGGTTTTGGGATCTGACCTGTGGATCTGATCTGGCA